AGGCTGAAAGCAGGAGGATCACTAGGAGTCCGGGCTGCATACTGAGACCCTTTCAAAATACATTTAAAAAAAGAGCAGACTGAGCGATGTGTTCAACTCAATAACAGAAAGTAGAAAAACAGAAAAGGCCTACGAGGTCCCAAGGGGTTTTCATTTACGCTTGTGGTTATGTACTGTACTTGACAGCTGTTGTGACATCAATGCCGCTTCCCAAACCATCCCAAAACTAACTGAGTGGGTGTTATTGTCAGACATGCGCAGTTGGGCCAGGGCTTGGCTGACCTAGACTTGGCTAGGCTGCAAGGTAAGGCTCTGGTCTGAGTCCCTTGCTTGTCCTTCCCTGGTAGACTGAGGCACGCCCTTCTCATGCTGCAGTGCCAGCACCAGAGGAAGAGCTTTGCCCTACAGGCCCCTTCCACACCTTTGCTTGCCTTCTGCCTACAGGCATCCCGTTGGCTGGAGTAAACATCGGTGGGACAGGGAAGAAAACTTCTCACAGAGCGGGAGAGAAAGGAAATGGATATTGAGAGCAATCACATGAGCCACTGTGTGAACTGAGTGCCTTGTTGCTGTCCCTCAGATCCCACATGTGCGTCTCTGCCGGGCGCCTCTGCCCACAGCGGCTTAAACCAAGCGGTCGTGAGTCAGTTCAATGCAAAGCATGCTGGGGGAATGATGTGCTCACGTAGGAGTGAAAACTTTCCTTCCTTCCAGAAATTTTCATTAAAGACAAAGTTGACAATGACCTTGCAGTGATTTCTTGAGATGAAATTGCCTGGTGTGTCACCAAATTCCGCGACTTTCTGCAACCTAGTGAGAGACAGCTGTGTGCAGGGAATTGAGTCTGCAGGTGCTGAGTAATGTGTCATGTATGCATCGAGAAAATGAGGTCTGGGGAGCCATCATATAAAACGAGGAAATGTAACTGATGCTGATAAATTTACAATTAATGAACTTCGTATTAGTTATTTGAAATATCATGCAAATTCAAGCTTGTGTCTTACCACCTGCCTGGTCAGTTGGTCCTTACCAGAAATACTGGAGTATAGAAACTTCTTTCTCTCTGTTTTGGTGCTGGGATTGAACCCAAAGCTTTGTATGTGAAGTCCATGCACTGTCCCTGAGCTCTACCCACAGCCCTCTGGTCTCTTTCTTGTTGCTGTTTTGTTTTTCCAGTGCTGGGGTTTGAACCCAGGGCCTTGTGTATACTAAGCAAGCATGCTGTCACCGAGCTACAACCCAGCTCTCTGGTTTCTTCCTTTCTTTTTTTTTTCTTTTTTTAAATTTTCTGATTTCTTGATGTGGAACAGAGTCTGGTGACATATCTCATGGGACAAGTGTGGCCCGTTTCCCACCTTGGTGAATAAAGCTTCGCTGGAAGCCAGCCACACTCATTAGTTCATATGCGGTCAGTCTGTGCCTGCTGTTACTCTGCTAGCACAGTTCCAGAAGAGACAGCAGAAAAGGCAGCCCACCAAGCTGAAACCACACAAACGCTTGCCAATCTTGAATCAACATTATATGAGGAAGTTGGAATTTTGGTAACTTGGTTATGTATACAGATCTCAAATGACTTGCCCTGGGCTTATCCATAAGGCAAGCTAGTGATGAAGGAAATCAGTGATGTGGACAGTACCGCAGACAGTTTGAACCTATCTAGGAAGCATTCTTTTTAGTATTTCAGTGAATGAACACTTATTTCCAAATAGGCAGCTATTATTGGACCAAGTATAAAATGCGTATGAAATAGAGGTACAGATCAGTGACACGGCTCCAGCCTAGCCCAGGCGAGGTCCTAGGTTTGATTGCTATAACTTCAAAAGCAAAAGCAAAAGAGGAACAAATAAACAATCCTGTTTTAATCCTGACAAACTTTTGAATATTGCTCTGTTGCCAGGCATGGGGATACACACCTATAGCCTCAGAAATTGTGAGGCTGAGGCAGGAAGATCACCTGGAGTTCAAGGTCAGCCTGGACTACTTAGTGAGTTCAAGCCTGGCCTGAAGTATATGGAAAGACTCTGTCTCATACAAACAAACAAAAACTGCTTTGTTAACCTTTCAGGGAGGTAACTCTGTATAATAATTCAATGTTTTCAAAAATATGCTTGTTGTTATTTCAACCCTTTCACTGCAATAGGCTATCTCAGCTCTTCTCATAAATTGTGATTAGCACAGCTCTACCATACCAAGTTCATAACTGTTTGAAAACATCAACTTCAATCTCTTCTTAGAGGTTGGAAAGATCAAAACCTTTCATCTTGCCAGATGTCCCTCTTAGAAATAGTCTGACAACTTATGGAGAAACACCTACTTCGCTGGACGCAGTGACACACGCACCTCTACCCTCATCACCCTGGGAGGCTGAGGGAGGAGAATCCCAAGTTCAAGCCCGGTTTGGACAGTTTAGTGATTTAGTGAGACCCTGTCTCAAAAAATAGAAAAACAGGCTTGAGATTTATCTTAATACGAATGCTCTGGCATCAATCCCCAGTACAACAAAAAAAGAAAGAAGGAGAAGAAGAAAGAAAGGAAGGAAGGAAGAGAGGAAGGGAGGGAGGGAAGGAGGGAGGGAGCGAGGGAGGGAGGAAGGAAGGAAGGAAGGGATGGAGGAAGGAAAGGAGAGAAGGAAGGAATGAAAGAAGGGAAGGAGGGAAGGAAAGAAAGAAAGAAAGAAAGAAAGAAAGAAAGAAAGAAAGAAAGAAAGAAAGAAAGAAAGAAAGAAAGAAAGAAGCTGGGCATTGGGCACATGCCTATAATCTTAGCACTCAGGAAGCTGAGGCAGGAGGATCACTGTGAATTTGAGACCAGCCTGAGTTACATGATAAGTTCAAGGCCAGCCTGAACTACATAGTGAGAGCCTGTCTTTAAAAAATAAAAAATAAAAAAAAAGAATAAGGAAGGAAGGACTTGGAAACAAAGCAAATGAAGATTAAAAGTGTCAGTAGGCCAGCATATATCTATAATCCCAGCTATTCAGGAGTCTAAGGGATGAGGATTTACATTTTCACCCAGGCTGGGCAACTTAGCAAGATACTATATCAAAATAAAACTTGAAAAAGGGCTAAGAGCCCTGCCCTAATGTGTGCAAAGCTTTGGTTTCAACTCTTAGAACCAGAAAGAAAGAAAAGTAAGGAAGGGAGGGAGAAAGGGGGGAGGGAGAGAAAAAAAGAATAGCAATAAGTGTTCATATATTTCAGGTAGGTGTGTGGAATTGAAAAAAAAAGGGACTGGGTATTGAATTCCATGTGTTTTTCTGTGTTCTGGAATTTGCTTTAAGTCCTAAATGCAACCTTGTAAGAGGTCTGGCTGCTAGAGTTCATTCCAGTCCTTCTTCATTCCGGGCTGGAATAAATCTCTCTGTAAGATTCAACACCAAGACCTGGACTCCGAAACCTAAGGTTAGGTAAAACAAAAGAGGTGCTAGTGGACCCTACTTCTGAAAGGAAGCTGTCCCTGTAACCATCAGGTAGGTGAGGAGGTATGGGTCGTCATGAGTCTCCTTGGTTAATCACATGCATGTAGAAGCTGTGGAATGGTAGCTGCGTGTCTCTAGGTCAGGACAATCCACTTGGCTCTAACACCCGTCTTTTTGTTCCAGGAGTTGGGTGGCAGAGTGTGCTGCTAAAGGGAGAGGAGTCAGCTTCCAGTGCTGCAGAAACCTTCGGCTCAGACATGACTATCAAGGTACAGGGGCTTTCTTGGGTGGGATTCTCTAAGTGCATCCTTAGACCAGTGGGTGCCTAGGGCAGGCTTCCATGTGTGAAGAATGATCGCTGCCTTTCTATGTTGCTAGGGCTCTCCCTATTCACTAACTTTCTGGTTAGGAACCAGGCAGGATTTCCTGAAATCTGGAAGTGGATTATAATGCCATTTAGAAGCTAAATCCCAGATATGATTCCCAAAGAAATTCATATGGGGTCTTCAGTGAACATCTGTCTACTTGTAGACTATTTCTAAGTGGTAGCCTTTGTGGGGTCAGTGAAGCAGATCTGAAAATTCTGAGCTGACAAATGAGGCCCCTCTGTGTATTGTGAAGAAAGGTCAGAGACACACAAAGTAGCTTTGATCTCGACTCAAGATTTCCACTGATGTCAGCGGGAAGGCAGCGCATGGCCCACTCCCGCTGGAACGCTAATGGCCAACGGTTTACAAAATGAGTCACTGGGAAATCAATGAAATTGTCCTTGTTCAAATGAAATTTGTAATCGCCTAGATTAAAGACTCTGTAATGAAAGTTATCAGAGACTCAACCACTTCCCTTCTGTGACTGGATTACACCTAAAAGGATACTCTTCCTCTCCTTGCCCATCCAGCCTGCTGTGTTTTGGTTAACAAAGGCTGGAGGTGGGAAGGCTTTCTCACATTTTTGCATGAATGATTAGAATTTTACTATATGTCTCTTCTGAATGTTTCAATGAAAAATAAAAAGCAATGTCCCTTTTTAGCTTGAGATATCCTGGAGATGTTTCATGAGGAAGGCGGATGGTGATACTAAAATTTGGGATTAGGAGAAGTCACACAGAAGAATATATAAGATGAATTAGTCCAATTTTTTTAAATGTGAAGGCCAAGTTTACGTGAGTTAGAAAAGTTAAAGGCAAGCTGAAGATCATGAAACACGTCTATAATCCCAGCACTCCAGGAGGCTGAGGCAGGAGACTATATATCCAATCCCAACCTAAGCAACTTGTGATTTAGTGAAATCCTGCCCAAATAAATAAATAAATAAATAAACACCAAAGATATAGCACAGTCAAAGGCCCTGAGTTCAATCCCCAGTACCAGAAAAAAAAAAAAAAAAACAAAAACACACACAAAGAAAAAAAGACTGCCACAGTGAAATTAGCAAGAAAGGCAGCCATGATGAAACTAAACAACAATAGGGTAATAACTTGATTGCTTAAGAGTCAACTATCATGTGTATCAGAATTTGGAAGACAGTAGTACAAATTTGGGGTAATATGTTGGTGTTTTGTTGGTCATAGTGGCAAAGACTAAAAAGTTCAAGTCTAGAAACATGACAGAGGAAGCTGGATGGTGATACTAAAATTTGGTGGAATTACATTTGCTGTCTGGAAATGTCATTTTCTGAAAATTGGTTTTCAAGATGTATTGCCCATACAGCTGCAGATATGCTATAGTTGGGCAAATACAAGATCAGAAAGACAGGAGTTGGTTTTCCTAGAAAGAAATGATGTATTCTAATAGAAGCAAGCTTCAATGATTAAACTGGATTGTCCACTTGCTTGGAAGCTGCCTGGGGGAGAAGAAAAGCATGTGTCTGGGTATGTCTGGGTGGGTCATAGAGGCATGACCTACAGGACTATATCTGAGCCCTCAACCCTTCCTCTCTGAACTGTTTTCCTATTCTGCTTCTTGGTGACAAGCACTAAGAATCTTTGCTTTGTCCATCTGCTCTGTCTCTGCTTTGGGACCAGCCTGCCATGGACTGGATTCCCTGAAATCATAAGCTAAAGTGAACCTCCCCTTCTTTAAGCTCTGCGTGTTGAGTACTGCATCTCAGCAACAGAAAATCTGATGACTATGCGAGTCTTGCCCAAGTTCTATTTTACAAGTTAATACTTAACCAGTGTGCCCATCCCTGGCACCAGAATAATGGACTGAAGTATTTGGGCTTTTGGTTTAGGTGTGATCTTCAGGCTCCCTTTCTCTCTTTTAATAAATACTTGGCAAGTTTACCACATGTGGCACATGCCTTTAGGTAGCACACAAGCAACTGAGGCAGTGACATCATGAATTCCAGACCATTTTCAGCTCTATAACAAGTTCTAGGTGTTCTAGGTCATTCTGGACTATGTAGCAAGATCGGTCTCAAGGTGTCTCAAACCCCCCAAAAAAGTCATAATAAAAAATACTTGTGGATTTGCAATGAAAATGGAAAGCAGTGGCAAAGGAAACTTCAACTTTTATTTAAGTTTAATAGTGTATAGCTTTTGACTCTTTTCAGATCCTATTTACTAGTGAAAATATGTCCGTTAATCTTCATGTTCATAGCAATCATCCTATCTGTTTGCCCATTCACTTTGACTGACAACTGGTTCCTGGTGCTCTCAGTCCAGACCTTTTGGCATGCCTTCCAGCTGCAAGGAAAAAGAGATGGCACTGAATAATTCTTTTTAAGTGTGAACATGCAGTTCGAATCCAGCGAAAACAAGTTGGTAGTACAGTATCTTGGTGATACTTCTCAATGCCACTGTCATCTTCCTAGCAGGAGATAACTGTAATGACAAAATGAGCACATTGTTCATTCAGTCGTTGAACTCTAACCTTGAACTGGAAGTGATCTGTAGGCAGGAAAGACTCCGTCCTCTTCCTGTGTTTTCACTGCTGTGCATGCTGGGTGCACGTTGATTGCTGGTTGAGTCCATGTAATTGACATGCTTTGATTGATCATATAGTATTAAGGCAGGTTTCAGAAAATGTCAAACATAATTCCTGTCTTTTAAGATTTTTGGAATAGTTCCAGGTCCTCATGTATCGTACAGTGACCTTGGTTTCCTTGGTGGTTTTGCTGTGTTCACTGCCAGCAATGGACATTACAATAGGAAAGTTTTCATTAATTCCTGCCACTCAATGATTATTACATGATGGCCCTTATGAAGTGAACCTACCAGTTATAGTGGGATTATAAATAAAGCGAGGGAGCCAACATTGAAAGTCACCCCAACTATTTATATTTGGATTCTGTGCACAGTGATCCTAAGATTAATTGCAAGAATTAGCGCATCTTTACAGGACGATGACAAAAGGTCGTTGCGTATCTATTTAGTTAACATGGAAGGTTTTCAGGTGGTATTGGCAGAGAAATACAGTATATTATTATGTCTATGGCAAAAATAAATGCATTTGTTGTACAAAAAATAGAAATAAAGGCAGAGTAAAAAAAAGGAAATAAAGGCATAGAGAAAGGAAGATATTTAAATACACTAATGAACCACTGCACATATTCTAGAGTTCCTATTAGTGTCAACCCCTTATTTTTTATTTTTTTGTTGGTACCAGGGATCAAACTCAGGACCTCACACTTGCCAGGCAAGTGCTTATTCCACTGAGCTATCTCCCTGGCCCCCATGTCAACCTTTTCTTACTAAGGAATTTGGGAGACCTCTAAGTGACTGTAACTAAGGAAAATGCCTCTGTTTAAATTCCCTTTAGTTACCTGAAATATGCATCGTACTGCTTTTTTTCTTTTAATATCATGCTGTTTCCTATCCAGCACTGCTTTACACCATATCTTTGCATACAAGTAAAAGCATTAATTTTCCTATGTGCCTGATATATATCAATTAACTGGAGACTCTCATGCATTTGTCTATAGATATTTCTAACAGCTACTTCATATATCCTGATGATATTAAATATTGCTGCCTTTTCCCCTGGAATAAAAAGATATTTTGAATTTGATTCATTGACCCATCCCAAGGGGAAATGCCAGAAGAAATCAGAAATCCTATAGCAGTTTGCTTTCTTCCACAC